ATCCCACCCATATGGTATCCATGTGGGAAATTTATAAGAGGGGGTAAGCATGGAGTTTAGGGCAGTGGCTGGGAGGAAAGTGGGGAGGAGCGGTAGAAAGGATGAGAAGCACACAGCAGGGTTCCGTGGTATTGGTAATTGTTATTTTTTAAAAAGCTAGGTGATGGGTGTGTGGTTGTTTGTCCGCTGTCTCCCACAGAGCTGGTCAGCATGGGTGAGGGATAGCTGTTATTGGATGGATGGGTGGGCGGGTGGATCTGTCACGTTCCTTCACGCCCCCCCATCCCTGTCATCTCTGATCCCACCTCTGCTACATTCTATTTGTCCAAGTGTAGGCCTGTGGGCAGAGGGCTTCCTGGGAACATTTTGTTTCTGTTCTGGTCTAGGACACAACGCTATGACCTGGCAAACAGATGGCTTGATCATTTAACATTGCTCTATTTCAAGCAAATGTCCAGGCGAGATTGATTCTCAATGACTCCAGCCTGCTGCAAGGATCTTTGGAATTAACTCCTCTGGTTGGGTCCCGCCTGCTAAAATATTCCCTAAGTGACTGTCTTTCATGGTCACCCGAGGGGCTGCTGGAAGTGCAAACACTTCTCTTAGGCAGAGGATGAACTGGGGTCTTTATCCTCAGACGTAAACAGGAGAAACATCAGTGGCAGCAGCTGCCGGCCCCGGGAGGGCCTGGGTTGCTAAGCACTTGCTCCCACCCAGAGAGACTCGGGAGGCCATGCCATGCTGCCTGCCCACAGCTGCCCTCTTCCCCCGGCCGGAGGCCGGGGCCGTGGGGCTGGCGGGTATGGACGGAGGCGGGTGAGAGGATGAGGATGGGTGCCTGCTCATCTTAGTGAAACGAATGACTCCTGACCCTGCCAAACCCACGTCAGAGGAGCTGGGAAGCTGAAGGACATTGCTTATGGTTGTGAAAGTATTGGCTGAGAAGGGTAAGACTGGTCAACAGAGAACGGCCCACCTTCCAAGGCAGCTCCTTTCCTAAGTTAAGGGCCTGATGAAGGTGATTGTCAAGGACTGGACAGTGGCAGGGTGGGGGTTGGGAAGGGTGCTGGGCTTGACAGAAGTGTTCTCAGCCTCTGAGTGACCGCCTGGAGCCTTATTCTTTACAATAGGGTAACAGTTAGGATGTTTACCCTGTATGGCACAGGCGCTAGCCAATCAGAATGAAGAAGGGCTTTATTGCCTGAGGTCTCAGCTGCGCCTGGCCTGGCCTTACCCCCTTAGCTGTAGGATGGTAGAGTGATTGGGAGGGCTTGGAGGAGGGGCCAGGGAGCAAGAGCGGGGAAGAGGACTTGGGGAGCTCAGAGCAACCACTGTTTACATATCAGTACGGGCCTGTTTTAATATATTAACAGCCAGTGTGACCGTGCTCCTGCTGAATGTTAGCTCTGCTATGAAATAGGAGCATCACTGGGGAGCTTGTTGAAAACACAGATGCCCGGTTCCCACATCAAAACTACCGAGGGGCACTCTCTGGGGCCCAGGTGAGAGGCCCACTACGCTCCTGAGAGCTGAGACCTGGATCAGCTGGTGTCTGTGGATCTGGCTCTCCCTTTCAAGGGGTTAAGGATGCCTCTGAGAGATGAAATCCTGCGCAAGGTCTCTAGGGGGAACGTGCCCAGCTCAGGTGCAGGCCATGTGACTGAGCGAAGCCCTGACGCAGCCATTTAACTGAGGCAGCCTTGACCCTGACTTAGCCTCCCCTGGCTTGCTGAGCAGTGCTGTGCAGGCCTAGTGTGAACAGAACCTCTGAAGTTTCAAGAGAAGTTGGAAGTTGGTGAGCCACGTAGCGTGTCCTGCATCTCACGGAGTCACAGGTAGGGCTTTGCTTAAACTCTCCCGCCTCCAAAAGCCCTGTCTATGGGATGGTGAAGGTAGAGGAGGTATAGCTTGTCCCACACAAGGAGGGAAGGAGACAGGCCCTAAGTGAGGGTCTTGATGCCGCTTGAGGAATCCATTTCCTCAAGGGTGGGCCTCAGAGTCTGCCTTCAGCTGGTTGTGCCCTGAGCACTGAGCTGCCAGGTCTGATCACAGGGTGAAGGGGCACCCTTCGTGGGACTCCGAGTCTTAGCTGAAGGGATAGGGCTCTATCGGATGGAGCATTTGGCTTCAGAAGTGAGGTGCTGGGGTTCTTCCTGGGATCCCTCGTATGTTCCACAAAGGAGTGGGTTCCTCTAAGTCTAGGACAGCTTGTCTGGATGGCTCCATTTAAACCCAATTGCCAAGTGCTTCCTCCCCTGCTTGGGACGCCTGCCCTCCACCCTTTTCTCCTCATGATTCTTAATTGTCCTCCAGGACTCAGCATAGATCGTGCTAGGACCTTCGCGACTAGGCTACATTGGTCTCCTTTTAACACCCACGGCCCTGGGCGTGTCCTTATTTTAGACTTTCTCACCTGGAATTTCAATGGCTTTCTCCTTTAAAGGTTTAACCTGTTAGGCGTTCGCTCTGTGCCAGCACGGTTTAAGCCACCTTGTAATGTCTCAGTTAATCCTCACAATAGCCCACTGAGGTTGGCACTGTTACCCTTTCTATTTAAGAAAGGAAGGCTCAGAGGGGCTAAGCAAGTTGCCCAACATCACATGGCTAGTAGCGGGTAAATGAGGACTTGTGCCCAGTCTGTGTGCAGCAGAGTTTCCATTTGTAACTACAGCACTAGGCTGCCTCCCCGCAATCTGACGTCAGCATGCGGATTCCTACAGCATCGTCCCGAGGTGGGCCTTGAAGTGAAATAGCTTCAACTCGGGTGAAGACAATCATCAGATTCGCTCTGCCACTATCTGTGGTTACTCTCCAGGCCTCAGGATACTTGGCTCTGCGATGGGGACAATTGTACCTGCCTCACAAGGTGGAAATGGTTGCGGTGCCTGGCACATAGGCAAGGTCTGAAACGTGTCGGTAGGACACACGATTGGAGGCCCCAGTGAGTTCAACTTTTACTTGGAAATAACACCCTCCTGCCCCTTTCAAATCCTCGTAAGACTCCACAGAGATGGGATTTGGTTTGATGCCGGACATGGGTGAAGAGGTCGGAGGAGTGGGGCTGGCCAACCTTTGGAGTTGTTTATAGCCCTCGAAGGGGTAACTCTATGGAGACAGTGGACAATGGGAAGAATATTGTTTCCTCTGGAAGGCATGGATTGTATCTCATCACACCCCGACAACCTGCTCATCAGCCCCAACAGTTAAAAATTAACTGTGTCCATTGCTACTGTCATTTCCCTGCCACTCCTGGTGTAGATTAGGTTGCTAAACTTATCAGGAGTGCTTTTTCTGGGTAAAGATGAGGCACTAATCTTTTGACTCATATTGTGAGTCACAGGAACTCATACTTTGACAAATCATACCGTGTCTCCACATCCTTGTGACATTTTCCCATTTCCCCACGTGGATTATTCAGCTCAATGAGGCATGGAGCCGGACATGCTGATTTTGTGGCGTAGACATGGGTCAGACAACAGTCTGACATATGTGTACTGCTCCTTGGCAGGATTGTGGTTTTGTTTCTGTCTTATTAAGGCCTGGTTAAGTCTGTGGACAATTTACTTTGTCAAGTGTGTGGGTGGGTATGTAAAATATGTATGTGTTATCCTGGGGTCTTGAAGAACTGGAAATTCTTTGAGAAGGGGGAAGTTCTAATTAGACCTGCTTTTTTTAAATGGCACCCAGCCTTAGCAGCAAATGGCATTGATGCATCGGAGTGTCCGCACTGATGGGCAGGCAGTAAATGTGAGATCACAACAATTAAGTTTAACAAGAACGAATGGGTCGCCTCATCTCGCTGAGGCGCCCTCTCACCCCTGTTTACAAAGCTCTGTCCCGGCGGTCCGGCTCACTTCAGCTGCTTCTTAGTGGGGTCGCCTAGTTTTGCAGACTCCATCCTTCTCCCCCGCCCCCGCCCCCATCAGGAATGTGAAGGCCAATCTTTCCTCTTTGATCTTCTTTCCTGCTGCTTTTCCCCCAATCCTCCTTCTCTCTCGTCACCTCTCTGCTGCCTATCTCTCCTGTATTTCCCCCGCCCCTTTCCTCCTCCACTTCCTCCTCAGCCCCCTCTGTCTAGTCCTTGTGAGGGCAGCTTTCCTCTAGGAAGTGTCCCCACCCCAGATGTGGGCTGGCATCTTCTCACGGGACACTGCTGCCTTATTCTTCAATGGGTGAAGCAGCTAGTCTGCCCATGGAGAAGAAAGCAGAGGAAGTAAAGAAGACTGCAAGCCAAATGGAGTATCTATCGAAACCCAACCCCTTTACAAGTTATTCTGCAGCATGCTGTGTTTTCTTGGGAAAGTCAGACTACAGAGCCAGGGGGAATGTCCATAGCCCCACCCAGGACCACACCACAGCCACGTGGCTCCTGCTTCCCTCTTGTGTAAGATTCAATGTGGGAGAACAGACTGAAAAGCTTAAAGCGTGGTGCTCTGTTGACACTTGGTAGTCAGCTTTCTCTCTGACCTTGTTTGGAGCAAGGCCTCTGATTTTAGAGGGTTTCAGGGTTTTCAAAGCATCCATGTCACACCCTTCCCGGAGAGTCTCTGCCACCAGAACTGTGACTCTTTGGAAGGGCCTGGCTACGGCGGCTACTGGTGGTCAATGTACAGGCCCCAGAAAGGGGCAGAGCCATTCTAATGCTCGTTGAGAACAACGAGGTGATGAAGTCAAAGGGGCAATGCCAACATTCCCACCGTGGGATCACCCCTGGATGAAGCCCCTTTTCAGGACACACTGGAAACTCTACGCAGAGCATGGGACAAGAGGCCACACACTCCGAGCCGGCCAGGATGGCCTCCCACTCCTTGGTCCGAGCAGCGGGCCTTGCCGCGTGGGGTCATTCTTTCGGAAGGCCACCCCCTCTGTCCTCACACCCAGAGCAGGAATCCCTGCTCCCACCTTTCTTTTCGGGGAGCAGAACAAGCACCCAGGCTCGAGCACCCCAAGAATGGCAGCACGCCCTCAGTGGAGGCAGACTGTATTTAAATGCAATTCACCTCTTTGGGGTCTAGGAAAAGCCACCCGTAGACTCATTTGCTGGGAAACACGGTCTGTGTGGCTGAGGCAGCGGACGCGGGGGCCACGGTCTTGCCGAAGGCTGACTTCCGCCGGGGGTCTGTCTGCTGTCCCGAATGGCAACCGCTTCGGTGGGCGAATAGGATGGTCATATCTGGGCCCAGGGGGCCGGCGTCCGGCTGGGGTCCCTTGGGGGCAGCTGGCTGGTCAGGCTTCCCGGAGGTGCTGTGCTTGCTGGGAGGAGGGCTGTAATTCTGAAATCTCACGGTTTTGACTTGCTGCAAGAGAAAGAAGAGCAAAGGGACCCAGGTGAGGTGGCAGACATGCTACTGTCCCCTGGGACTTGGTTCTGGCTGTTTCTCCACACTGGTCCCTACTTGAAAGCCTCACGGACATGTTCATTCAGGAAATATGTATGTCTACCATGCATCGTGCACTCTGTTAGGAGCTGTGGGTCCAAGAGTGAACAAACTGTCCTTGATAAAAAGACAATTAGAATAACAAATGCCACAAAGGGGGAAGTTTAGATGCTAAATGCAAAACAGTATGGAGCTAAAGCTGGAAGTGGGGTAGTCAGGGAAGGCTTTCTGGAGGCAGAGCTATTTAAATTGAGAACTGAAGAACAATTGGGAGTTACCTAGAAGAAATCTGGTAGGCCTGCCTGAGAAAGGGCCTGAGGCAAGAGGGTAGGGTCTAGTCTAGAAAATAGAAGTTACTCCACTTCCTCTTATAACAAAAGCCTGTCCCAAGGCTACCGCTCCCTGAGGCCTCCCCTGCGGACCCTGTGGAGTCCCGGAGTCCTGTGCTGAGAGCTTGCAGACTGGTCTGACAAGTCCCCAAAGCAGAGTTTGCAAGCTGGACACCTGCTGGCTGAATTTAGTCTGTGGAATATTGGAGAGTTTTAGTTGCCGACACATAAAAATTGGGAGATGGCCTATCAAAATCAGTCTTTCATAAGTCTCTGAAAAAAAAAAAATCAGAGATCTGGCCCTGGCCAGGTGGCTCATTTGGTTGGAGCATTGTCCCATAAACTGAAAAGTCACAGGTTCAATTCCCAGTCAGGGCACATGCCTAGGTTGTAGGTTCGATCCCAGTCGGGGTGTGTATGAGAGGCAACTGATCGATGTTCCTCTCTCACATCGACGTTTCTCTCTCCATTCCTCTCTATCTTAAAAGAAAAATAATCAGCAAACAACATATCCTCGGGTGAAGATTAAAAACATCAGAGATCTGGCACATGGGACCTGTGCCCCATTTTGGCAGCGACTGCCTGGAGGTGATGAGCAGATATGTGTCTGTTTGCACACGCTTCTCCTAACCTGTTATCTACCTGTCTGGTGCCCACAGTTATCGACTTTGGCCAGTATCTCTCTCAGGCCTTAATAAAGTGTGCCGCGTACTGCTTAGGAATGATTCTCTCTCCCATGAAATTTGATCCTAGCGTCCCCCACTGAGAACTCAAGTTTCTTCATACTTTTGACCTTCACCTTCTCTAGCAGAGGGCTGAGCACTTACTGAGCACTTGCAGTTCGAAGGCTGTCTCTAAGAGGTTGGGGGAATGAGCAACTGGGGCCTGAAACATTCTGAATTATTTGAAAACCATAATTCAGAAAAAGAAACTCTCGACATTTTATCAGTCAACACGAACTTTTTCCAAGTGCCTTTCCCTATGAGCTTAGAGCTCAGCCTCGAGAGCGTGCGTTCTTGTGTTAGATTTGGATTCTACTCTAGACAATATGTGTGTCAGCTGTGTGCCTTTGGGTAATGTACTTTAACTGCTTAAGCCTCTGCTTCCTCATTTAACACGAGGATGACAATAATAATACCTGCTTCAGAGGGTTGTTGTGAGGGCTAAATGAGACAGAACATGTGAAGTGCTCCGCTCAGTGCCTGCCTGGCCATTAGCATTCAGTAAGCGTGGAAGAGAAAAAGGAACCACATCGCCTTTCCATTTAAGGCAGAGTGGGCGGTGGCGGTGGCGGAGGCAGTGGCGGTGGCAGTGGCGGTGGCGGAGGTGGTGGTGGTGCTGTGACGTTCACCAAACTAAAAGATAACAAGCATCACCTAATTTCTTAATGTCACCTCCTCCATCTGCCGTCCCTCCTGCCTCAAGGATGTTACTGAGAATGTAGGCATTTTACAAAATCTCTTATGTCTACTTGTGGGAAAAAGCCCAAAGCGGAAGTTAACAGATCTGACCTCGGCCCAGAGGTCACAACGACAGTGGCTGGAGTTGTCATAACTCAGTGTGACCTTTGTACGTCACTTAAATTCTCTATGTCTCAGTTGCCTCGTCTCTGCCGTGAGCAATTAGGTATCGGGCCCTCTGTAAGCACTGTACATATTTCATCTCACTTAAACTCCAACGCAGTCCTATGAGGCTGTTACTATTCTTACCACCATTTTACAGATTAGACAAAAAAAAAAAAAAAAAAATCTCAGAAAGGTGAAGTGTTTTGGCCAAAGTCACAAGCCGGCAAGCAGCAGAGCTGGAATTCAAATCCAGATTTGTCTGATGGCAAAGCCATGTTTCTTCCAAGCCACTTTGAGCCTCAAAAGAAGAATGTATGGAATATTCGGGAAGCAGAAGAGGAGACCGGGTAACACATCTAGCGAGGGTGTGAGGATGTGGAGGCGGGTAGTGTGTGATAGTCTCTGAGGCTGTCATTTTGATTCCTTGTCCACTAAAACGAAAATCGCAGGAGCTGGGACACTGGGCCATGGCAGAGGGCTGGAGAGTCATTCCCCTAAGGTCACCTCCCTCCTACCTTTTCACTGCCGTTTCTGGAGTTCTCTGGTTTCACCAGGATCGACGGTGGGGCAGATGCAGGCGGTTTGGGTGGAGGCTCGCTCTTGACGGGGATTTCCTTGCCTTCCATGATGATGGAGCTGGCCGCTGAGTGGATCCGGGTGTCGCTGCCCCTGCTGACGCACGTGAGGGCGGGCTCCCCCATGGGAGCCGGCTTGGGTCCCATCTCCGCCAAGGGCGAGGAGGAGACCATCTGCGGCTGGTGGAACTGGAACTGCTGAGGCCGGACAACCATCGTGGGGCTGCGTCGGAGGGAGCCCACCACGTAGGTGGGGATCCCTGACTGGACGGGTCTCTGCAGGGATCCATCTGGGAATCACATGACAGAGCTATCAGCACCAGGGTGGGGCGCCGGCGGCAGGCTGGGTGGGGCTGGGTTAGCCTGTGTCCTGATATCCCAGAATAGTCACCAGTAAGTGCTTTCTCAATCTGACTGCAGGCACATTCTCTCAGGGTCTTTCAAAGGTGACCTTATGCTTTTTTTAGTGCTATTTGCTGATGCTGGCAGCAAGTAACTGGCTAGATGAATGTTGGGGCGCAGGTGTCATTTGCTTACACACACACACTCTCTCTCTCTCTTGACTCTCTCCCTCCAGACCTTTTAAGAAGGAAAGGGAAGACGACAGACCTAGAGACAGTTTCACAGTGAGGAGCAAACATAGAGACGTGCAGACCAAAGAGGAAACAAAAGCCAGAGAACAAAAGGAACAGAAGAGAAATTGAGAAGCACAAGAAAGGATTAAACTGTGAGGGATGAGGGGGCGGAGAGAGGGAGAAGAGGAGGGGACAGGACTCTGACTAGCTATTTGAAGAAAATTCCAGCTCCAGCTTTAGATATATGGTGGTGGGTTAGTTGGGGGCTTCAGGGAAAAAGGGGGAATGGAATATTAAGAGTGTGTGTGAGTGTCCTGGCCAGGTGGCTCAATTGGTTGGAGCACCATCCCATAAACCAAAAGGCTGCAGTTTTGATTCCTGGTCAGGGCACATACCTAGGCTGTGGATTCAGTCCTGGGTCAGGGTACATGTAGGAGGCAATCGATAGATGTTTCTCTCCCCCCCGCCCCCTTCTCTCTAAAATCAATAAAAAACCATATCTTTGAGTGGGGATTTAAAGAGAGAGAGAGAGAGCGAGCACACGCTAGGCACATGTGACACAAGATGGAAGCCAATTTGGAAAGGTTACTGCGGAGTTGGGGCTGTGTGTGGACAAGACTTGCAAAGCTCCACGACACAGGCTCTGGGATCAGATCTATTCCCAGGGAGCCTGGGACAAGTCAGTCACTCCACCTCCCTGCACCTCAGTCCCTTCATTCATAAACGAGTTAATGACAGCACCTCCTAGGGCTGGTGTGAGGATTATATTTTATTACATTTTATCCTGTATGCAAAGCATTAGGACAGTACCTGGGACCTAATAAATGGCCCATGTTTGTTAAATATCATTATTTGTGGGTACAGGAGAGCACACCCTAAGAAACGCAAGGTCCAGGAGTTTGGTTTTGCCCCTTCCTAAGCTTTTGTTGTTGTTGTTGTTAACTGAGACAGTTCCCCCTCCATACTCTGTAGAAGGAAGCCATTCCTTCCCTTCAGACCCTCTGGAGACAGGAGACCCCCATCTGTTGGGAATGTGTCCTCTGGGTATTTGGGGAATAATCAGGAGTTTACTGCACTCTGGGGGGAGGTGGGAGAGCCACCCTTGAAAAGCTCTGCTGCCGCTGTTCCCCAAAGCTCCCCAGCATTAGAGAGCCACAGGGGGCACCCGGCAGAGAGGTTAGTCCTCTGTGACACTCTCTGGACACGTGTGTGAATTGGTCATTTGTGTCCGGCACAGAGGGCCTGTACCAGGGCCATGTTCTGCGCTGACTCTGTCCAGCCGGATGTGAGCATGAAAAGCAGATGCTCACTGCACTCAGCCGGCCCTTTCAGCCGCCGCAAGCCAGCCAGCCACCACTTACAAGCCTGACCTTTCCGTGTAGACATTTATTTTTCCACTGTCAGCCCTGTGGGGTGCAACCAGTCAATTCAGCTGTCATTTCTCGTCGCTTTGGGGAGATTGATAGCCTGACCAGCCTCACCTTGGGGAAAGGGGGAGAGAGAAAGGCCCTCCGGATCTGGGAAAGTCAGAGCAGCACCGGGCGGACATGGCCTCAGGCGCCCAGAAACGTGTGAAACATTGGTTTTATGCCTTATCTATTTATTGTGCTGGTTCCTAATTTCCAAGAGAGCTCATGATTCCTTATTACATGTGCATTCAATGCAAACAGTCAAAGCTCCAAGCTAATCAAGATGTACGCAAAGGTGGGGAGTGAGCCTATGAAAGGAAACATGAGCCCTTGCCAATGGGGTACAGTGCTGGCATTCACAGGTGGCCGAGGCTGAGTCGAAGTGAGCTCATGCCCTTGATGCAGCAAAGATGATCTGCTTAGCCCTGGCTGGTGTGGTTCAGTTGGTTGGAATGTCATTTAGTAAACTGAAAGGTCACAGGTTCAATTCCTGGTCACGGCACAGGCCTAGGTTGCTGGTTTGGTCCACGGTCAGGGCGCATATGGGAGGCCACCGATTGATGTTTCTCTTTCACATCAATGTTTCTCTCCCTCCCCCTCTCTCTCTCTTTCCTTTCCCCCCTCTCTCCAAAATCAATAAACATGCCCTCGGGTAAGTATTAAAAAAAAAAAAAAGATGACCTGCGTAGTGGCAGTAGCAGTGATAATATTGATAAAATAATAATACTATAAAAGTAGCTAATATTTCTCGAGAGCTTATTAACAGGCTAGGCACAGTGCCATCAATCTTATGTGGATTATTTTATTAAATCCATACAATAACCCTATTGAGGTTGGTACTGTTTTTATTTCCATTTCACAAATGAGAAACCTGAAAACTGAGGAGATCAGTAACTTGCCCAAGGCTGTTATGCTGGGATCAATTATTTTGTGTGTGTGTTGTGGGGGATGGTGGGGGTGAGGAAGGTACTGGAAGGAGGAGGAGGGAGGACAGTTGGGTAAAATTGAGAGGCAAGAGTAGGAGCCCTGAGGTCCAGCCGGTAATCAGATAAAAGCGCTAGAAGAAGGGGGAAGCTAAGATGCTGAATTCCCTAGGGACATTTTCCTGCGTGACATGTTGTTCCACACAGTTATTCTTTTGCACTGACTAGTCACAGAGCATTTTCACATTGAATCATTTTTTTAAGATAGCAGAGCCCAGTTTAAATCAGAGGACGCAGAATCAATTGGGTTTACTTTGCTTGGCTCATTGTCTTCCTCTAGAGAGGTGTACAAATAAATACAACACCTTGCCATGTGTGGAACAATGGGTTTCAAACACTTTAAAAATCCCTGTAAATGAAGTCTTATGTAGATAAAAACATAGCTTCTAAAAGGAAAGATTTGTACTACTGCCATGTATGCAGGTGGCTGCTATATAGATAATAATAAAAGCAAGGTGTGCAGAACAGGGCAGCGAGGATGATTAACAGGTATCCGTGTACATGGAAGAGAACTTGAGACTGGAAGTTAAGGATATGAAGAGATTTACTTTTGTACAGTATAATTCCTTTTCTGTTTTTTTAACCTCGCCTGTATATTAGATAACAAAGCGGGATTCAGGAGCTCTTTGCATTGACTTTTGAACCTTCTTTTCCTTCCTTCCCCCCTTGCTACCCTTGTTTCGCTTTTGGCACCCCCTGAGGGGTTCCCCGGAACACAGTTTGAGAAGCACGGAGCCAGCAAGGGCTTTGGTTGTTCCATCTTCGTAAGAGCCGGCACCCACCTTGGCTGTGTGGTAATTACACGGTGGCACCCGGGGCTGCCATCATCCCAGTCAATCCACATGCACGCATGCAGTGACCGGAGGGCAGTGACCTTGAGTGGGCCAGCCTTCATTCAGGACACACCTCAGTTCTTGGGAATCATAACAAACCCTTCGCCCCGGGATCAGGTCCCCCGGCACTTAGCTCTAGGCACGTACCTCTCTGCCACCACTTACTCTTTCTCATGCTGTTCCGCCCTTTCCGAAGAGAGCCCTGTCCCGAAGTCCCCAGGCCGCCTGTGCTCCTCACGGGGTTGACTATGGCGGTGGGTACAAAGACGGACTTGAAGGGACGGCTCTGTCGGGGATCACCTTCTGCAAAGCTGCCTTGGGAGGACACAGAGGAGGTTGATACCATCCATGTGGTGTAGAGACCAGGGCTCCGGGAATCTGGAAAACTAGATGGCCTTCTGCTTGTGGACATGTTTTTTTCAAAAGAAATAGAGAACACAAATAGTCAGTCAAGGGTTCTATATAAAAAAAACAAAACTATCAGCTCCCTCCCGTGTAGCAGTTGCGGCTGTTCCTGACCCTCTTCCTACCCATAAGTACGCTTGTCGCCAGCCACGCGGGGTTACCTAAGCAGGCCTCATTCCTATGCCTTGGTGCCTGCGGGTGGCCTGAAGGAAGGCGGGGGCTCGCATCCTGAGGCCCTGGTCAACTGGAAGACGTGAATTCTGTCCTTTCACTCCAGCTCGGATCACTCCTCACCCCACATCCCTTCAGCCCTTGAGTTTAGAGCACAAGGTCTTTTATGTAGTCACCACGCTTTGCAGCGGTGAGTCCTTGTTCATTCAGTGACTTTTCCACTAGATTCTACACTCTTTGAAGGCACAGATTTTACATGACTTGTCTCATGTGTCCTGCACATCTAATTATTAATAAATGTTTGCCGAACGGCTGCCATGAAGCTTTTGGCACTGATGCCGGTTGTTCTGGCTAACACATATGAGCACTTACTGTATACCAGGCAAAGGCCACGTGCTCTGCCTGTGCTATCTCAGGGGTTCTTTACAACAGCTTTGAGAGGTAGGTTACTATTAGTGCCACCATTTGATAGATTTTAAAAAATGGAGATTTATAGTTACTTGCCCAGGCAACGATTAGACTTTTGAACCCAGGTCCAGGCTGGCTCTCTGCTCTACCACTGGGCTGCACCACCTGTGCCCTTACCACTGAGCTACCCTGCCTCCGGCCAGTTAGAACACTCATCATCTGGTAGCAAGGAAAACCCTGTATCCTGCTGGAAAGAAACTAAGTGGTAGGTAAGCCTTACAGGTGCCTCCACAAGACACCCATTCTTCTGTCTTGGGACCTGATTTTTAAGACTGGTATTGAAGTTTTATAAAACAGCAAGCAGTCCCTTGTTTATTGTTCCCAGCCTGCAAGTCCCTAAACCCCACGGGGAATGGCTGTCATTCTGCAGGCCTTTCTTGCCCTGTACCAATCCTACCCCAACATCACAGCTCCTCCTAAGCAGTCCATCAATCACCCTGTCACTCTGTTGATTAAATAACCTCGGCTAATTACCTGGGAATAACCAACTTGCCCTCAGCCCCCAGTACAGAGATGCCCTCCCCACTGGTTTCCAACCTGTCAATGCCTCCAGGTTTCTCTTTAGGTAATTTCCCCTTATTTTTCTCCTTTTCTTTCCTTTTGCTTAAAAAAGTGACATGTAGTTTAATAATGAGCCAGCCCGTGTTGCACAAAGATGAATGAGGCATCGTTTCATGTGGCCAACCCTGCCCAAGACAGGTGTGCAGCCTGCTGCACCAGCAGCTGAAGGGGACTTGGCAACAAGGGGACCTTGTCTGTGGCCACCAACATACCCCTGGTCCCTGGTAATGCACTCAGTGCAGGGGAGCCCACCGGGAAGAGCGCCGACAATGGAGGCGAGGGCTGGGCAGTGGAGAGAGGCCCCAGCACCTGCCTGTCTTTTGAATCAAGGCCTTAAGGTGCCGGATGTGGTAAAATGGGTTGAAAACAGGAAAGAAGCGTTCCAGAACTGTTTCCAGCAGCAGCAAGGACAAAAACACAGTTAATCAGGCCCAAGCCAGCTTTATTCCATCAGTCCTCTGTTTGAGTGACTGTTTACGGACTGAGGTGTGACCTCATTTTTCTAGCCCAACACTTGGCTGGATTCCAGAGACCCTGAATTCCAAGTCCTCCATCTAACACAGAGTCCCTCGATGTTTTCTGGCAAGAAGCTCAGCACTTCTCTAGCACTTTCCTCTAACATCAAAGCACTTCGCTTACATGTAGTCATTAATCCCCAACACCCCAGCCCTGCAGGCACCGTGGTGCTTGTTCTCAGGATGGACAGACTGAAAGACATTCACGCTTGACTCTGCACGTGTTGACTCTGATTTGCTCGATTGCTTTGAGTGTGCAGGCCTGTGTCCCCTTTTCTATCTGTGACATGAGCCCTTAAGAACTTGCTTAGATGGCAGCAGCTGCCGAGTAGGGCAGGAGCTTGGACCTTGACAATTTCTATGTCGTTCTGTGTAGAAAGTTCAAGGAAACCGAGTGGTGGCCCACAGGCACCAGCGGGGCACATGTGTCAAGTGAAGGTTGCAGGAAAGAGAAAATATGCTGGCTAACAGGGTGAAGGAGATTTCTGGGGAGGACCGGAGGGTGTGGGGAAAGGCTTGGAAACAGGTCCATGGAACCTGAGGAACCTCAGGCTGGAAGAGGCTGATCAGACGCTACTGTTTGTGTTCTTGCCATGAGTGGTCTTCAACTTGATCCACATTCTTTCCTCCCTTGTTCAGGCTTCCAAATCTAAAGAGGGAGTGTTAGCTTGGCAGAGCCTGCCCCTGAGCTGCAGTGATGGGTTGAGCAAGAGGAGGAGGAAGAGGAGTTGGTTTCTTCAGCCTCTGAAAAGGGAGGACCCTTCTGCCTCTCACCAAGACAATGCAAGAAGGAGGACCCCCAAAGGGAAGTTGGTGCTGTTAAGAAGGGGTTTGTATGAAAACGTGGCAAATGCTCTGCACAGCCTGAGCAGGTGGTTGCCCCAGGAACTGGGGAAACACGTCCCGGTGGCAGAGATTCAGTTGTGCCAAAGCAGCTGCACAGGTGGCGTCTCCATCCAGCACCGAGGGCTGGGGCCCTGGACAGCACAGCGGCCCTCCCCTCTCTTGGTGATTAAAAGGCTCACTTGCTGAATCTTCAACCAAAGCCCTGGCATTTGGTCAACTCTGGTCTGTCCACAGCCAGTCCTGAAGCTCTAGCATCATTAGGGAATGATGCTAAGGGGAGCTGTGGTTCACATGTCTAGGGGTCGCCTCATCCCTCCGAGCCCTGGCTATTTGAAAAAGGCTGCCCTGTGCACCAAGGGGCTGGTGACAGCGCAGAACCCCAAACAGGAGACCAGGCGGAGGGGCGCGGAGAACTTAACACACAGGACCAAAGAGCAGACGGGTGTCCAGCCCACTGAGTTCTAACACGACCTAGCTGACAAAGGACAGCATCATTCAGCCCTAAGAAAGGGGAGGAACTCGCCCTCCCACAGTGGAAAGGGTGCTTAAGACCCAGGGTGAGCTGCCCGCTTGAAGACAAATTCGACATATGTCATTCACATCCAAGGTTGGTAGGGACGGGAACTTTCTTTGCGTCAGGGAGGCCATCAGGGAAAATGTACACACACAGAAAGCATTGATCCTCCGTCACCTAATAGCCCTCAGGAGAATATACTATGACAGGGACTTGTTCTTGGAAATGCTGGTTCTCCAGAAGCAGTCACACGCACCAGCATGAGTGGCACCTCAGTGTATGCATACGTTCAGATTTCTGTGGGCTGGGGGAGAGGGGACGAACCCAGTGGTGGTCTATGGTGCTGAGACTCCATCCCGTCTGCCATGTGGCCCTACGGGAGGGTATGAGTCTACGCGCTCTTGCGGCGCCGGAGGCCACAGCAGGAGGAGAGAAGGGAAGCTGAAGCCTGAGTGACTGGAAAAGGGAAGCCCACATGCATTCTAGTCACGGCGACCCCATGTCCTGATGGCCCCAGGAGAGTCTTTTTACACCTGCCGTATCGAGTGTCCCTCTCTTCTCTCACAAGTGTCCTCATTTAGATAATAAATTATATGGTCACTTTTATTCTAATAGTTCTTTCCATGGCACAACCAGGACCTCGGGCTCAGGCCTGGTTCATAAGCAAATGCCCCAGTAGAGGCATGGCCCTAGGGAATTCGTGTTGGATCCCACAAAAGAAACTGTTCATGGGTTATACTGGGCGTCCTCCTGGCTCCTCATTGTCACGTATAGACCATTCTCCTACCTGCTCCACACGTACCAGCTTTGACTTGTATCATCAAACTCATTTCTCCCCAGGCCTCTCCCCTTCTTCCTGGAAGATTCCAGCTCCTGGCTTGCTGCCCTTCCCTCTACAACCTGATCCTACCACAGTGATTTCATATAGTGTTAGGGCTTTAAATGCCATCTCAAGCCTGGCTTCCTTCCTTCCTTCCTTCCTTCCTTCCTTCCTTCCTTCCTTCCTTCCTTCCTAACCTTCTTTCCTTCCTTCCCTCCTTTTCCTTCCTTCTCTCCCCTCCCTCCCTCTCTCCCTCCCTCCCTCCCAACCTCCCTTCTCCTTCCTTCCTTCCTTCCTTTCTTTCTCTTTTTCTTTCTTTCTCTTTTTCTTTCTTTCTTTCTTTCTTTCTTTCTTTCTTTCTTTCTTTCTTTCTTTCTTTCTTTCTTTCTTTCCTCCTTCCTTCCTTCCTTCCTTCCTTCCTTCCTCCTTTCTTTCTTTCTTTCTTTCTTTCTTTCTTTCTTTCTTTCTTTCTTTCTTTCTTTCTTTCTTTCTTTCTTTCTTTCTTTCTTTCTTTCTTTCTTTCTTTCTTTCTTTCTTTCTTTCTTTCTTTCTTTCTTTCTTTCTCTTTCTTCTTTCTCCTTCCTTCCTTCCTTCCTTCCTTCCTTCCTTCCTCCTTCCTTCCTCCCTTTCTTTCTTTCTTTCTTTCTTTCTTTCTTTCTTTCTTTCTTTCTTTCTTTCTTTCTTTCATGTAATATTTATTGTGGCCCTCTTTCTTACATGCTGCACTTGTGCACTCACCCAGCACCTTCACTGGGATTACTGACAAGCATCTGAGACCTAATCTGCTGCCAACAACTTTTTGCTTCCCTCGCTGTTCCCCAAAACCTGTTCCTGTGTTGGTTCACCTCCATCTCGTAAAAGGCAACTCCATCTTCCAGTGACTCAAGGCAAAGAACCCGGACTCCCCTCGAATCCTCCATTCTTTCATGCCTGATATTCAATCTGTCAGAAAGCCCTGTTGTCTCTACCTTCAGAGTATAAGCAGAATCTAATCACGTCGGCCTCCCTCCACGGCTCACACCCTGGCTCGGCTCAGCCTCAGCTCTCCCTGGATGACGACAGTATTCCCTTAGCTCATCTCTCTGCTTCTAGCTTTTCCTCTCAACAGTTGATTCTCAACCTGGCAACGAGAGGGATTCTGGTTCAAACATAAGTTAGATCACGTTGCTCTTCTGCTCAAACCCTGCAACAGGGTTAAAGTCAAATTCCTCATTATGACCTAGGAAATTCTCTATGACCTGACTCCCTATTACCACCCTGACCCCATCTCCTACTAAGCTACCCCTCACTGGCTTAAATCCAGTCCTACTGGCCTTCATGTCACGTGCATTCCTACCCCAGGGCCTTTGCTCAGGAACTTGCTGTTCTTCTGGCTTAGAATACATGCCCTTCGGAGAGCCACATTGTGCACCTCCCTGACCAACCTATTAGAACACTAATCACCCCCACACAGGTCCCACCTCCCTTTCCTGATTTGTCTTAGCCCTTAGCATTAACACCATCTACATTACCTACATATCTTGTTTTTTTTTGTCTGTCCCACTAGAATGTAATCATCTGTGGGCAGGAATTTGGTGTATTTTGTTCCTGGTACTTCTCCAGGGTCTGGAAGGGAGACTGATCCCTGTCAGTGCTCAATAAATATTTGTTGACTAAACAAATTAAAGCATCAGTTGCAGACACCCTTAGTTTGCTTTTGGAGGTTCGGCAACTTTTGAACAAATTCCGAGAACCATTGAAGGCAACAACTATGATCTCCTCCTCCAACTTTCTGCCCATCTTTTTCATACAAGCCTGGACCTATGGGAACCCAGATTCTGCCTGTCTTCATCCTAGAAAGCGGGGGGGGGGGTCCCCCACCTCACCAGCTAGCCTGATGGAAAAATCTGTGAGTTAGAAAGTGCAGTCTTTTATGGAACCCAAACCTTCTAAGTTTTAGCCACTGGCTCACTGCCCCTCATGGATCGAATCCGTTTCCTGGCCTACACAGGCGGTGATGGTCCTTCTGACCCTTCTCTCTACAGCTTAAGAAGTAACCCTAGTGTATCTTTCTCTCCTGTGATGTGGGCTTCTGTCTCCTCACCATCTTTGGTGTCCTCCTCTGGACTCAGTGCCTCCCAGCCATGAAGGTGCCCCAAACTGAACATGTAACTTCAGGAGCGACCCCTAGAGGGCAGTGAGAGTAGCTCTTTCCTTGCAATTATGACTCTCTGGTGTGTCACAAAGACAGCATTTGGTGCATGGGGATGGCCTCACCACCGTGACAGGCTTCGTCTGGGCAGCTGGGGGTAAAGGTAGGAGTCATTGTGGATATTTCAGGGGTTTGTATGCTTTGTGGTTGTGGTATGAGGTGGCTAGAGAAACTGTGGGCCAGTGAAGTCAACAGGTATGCCAGAGAATGAGGAAGGCTGAGGAAGAGCTGTTTGGGAAGAAGACCTGCACGGGTAACTAACGTTTGATCTGGCGTGTGGATGGACAGATAGTGGTCCGAGTTCACAGATACTCTGCTCCCCGCCCAGCATCCTGGGAAGCTGGCTGAGGTGATCATCTGACCTTCACATTTCTTCATTCTGCCACTAGATGGAGCGCCGAGGTGGAGGATGTGAACTGGGATTTTTAGGGTTTGTACAGAAAACCAGAAATCTAGTTCTTGGGCAGGTTGCTTAACTCTGTCCATCAATTTCCTCATCTGTAAAATAATATCTACCTTAAAGGATTCTTGGGCATAGCCAATGAGTTAAAAAATTCTTAAGTGCTTAGAAACCATGAAGAGCTATGAAAAAAGATAACACTTTCGGCTTTTTTTTTTTTTTTTTAAGTAGAGTGTCAGGCAGGTACTCAAGCAAAAGCTATTTCTGCGCCCACGCTCTGAAAGAGCATGGAGTCCTTCAGCAATCCAACCCACAGACGGCCTTGGCCTGGGGGACCCAACACCCCGATGCCTGAGATTGGCGGGGACGCACCTGAAAATGGGGATGACATAGTTGTTGGGGAAGATGCCGACTCGCCCGGTGACCAAGGAGACGCCCCTGAGCCAGCCGTCCTGGTACTTCCCCAGGACCCTGATGCCTTCCCCCTTCTGCAGGTCCAGCTCATCGGGTCCGTGGGCTGAGTAGGAGCGCAGGGCTACAAACCTGGGGAGGCACGGCACAGGTGAGGGGCGGACGCGTGTACACGCAGGGGAGGGCAGGGGAGCAATGAAGGGCGAAGGGAGAGGACACCTGCAGCCCAGGGGTTAGCAATTACAATCCTTTAAAACGGAAGCCTCAACGTGGAAGGCAGATGAAAGCGGAAGAGGTCGAAACAGCCGCGGACGGGCCCGATCCCTCCCCTCTCCACACCGCCCCCCCATCTCTGTAGAGTGTCCCACAGATGCAAGCCACTAACTTAGGCCACATCAGCATTTTGACAGTGGGGAAACTGGCCTACAATAAAGAAAGGAGTTGGTGACCAGGAATTAGTGGCAGAGCTGGGTCTCAACCCCAGACACGAAGGCTCTCCGGGGGGTGCTTTCTCACACCGCTTAGCAAACAGTCGGAGCCAGCAAGCTTCCAGGAAGTGAGAGGCCCACGGGAGAGGGAGCGGAAGCCTCCTGGACCCATTCCCTCTCCCAAAAGTAGAGACCTGCCTGACCCCCAGCAACGGCCTGAGCAGCCAGCTTCCTGTAGGCAGGGCAGTGGGCCCTGGGAAGGGAGGAGGGTGGTTAAGTTCTCGGGCACACAGTGGAGTGCTGGCTGCGTGGTGGGAGGGAGGGGAATGGGCTTAAGAGGGTGAAAATGTCCTGGCTTAGAGCAATGATTTTCCATTCTTTAGTCCACACAGGAGTCAGGGAGGTTATACCCAGGTATGAGTCTGGGGTGAAGAAGCTGCTAGGGAATAGTAGGCTGTGGAAGTGAGAACACCTGGCTGACTAAAGGCGTTAAAAAATAACCCACTTGGTATACCAGCTTCAGGGGTTACTAGTACATGGCTCTCAGGCCAGACTTAGGAAGCCCTTCTAGATTCTAACTGCTGTGAGACACTGGGAGCTTTTATCAAGTGGACCAGGGGGCAGAGTAGTCTCATCTGCAAGGATTTTTTCCCCCCTCTATAAAATGCTACATTTATTTTTCACTGATCACTAAAGCAACATCTATTTATAACCCAACATTTTGCATCTAAAGGAAGACAATAGAAATGGTTCCATACACAATTTCCCAGCAATGTTTTGGTATATAACCTTCCAGTCTCCTTCTACTTTCGTAAAATAATGAGCTCTAGGATGATGTGTTTTGCTAATTTGTATTTTTCACCATTTTTTCCATCGGCAGTCGTGAAGGGAGGAGAGGTGTTGTCTCCCTGGATGGGATGGCTTGGGAGCGGTGACGCGCAATGGCAGACAGATGGCAGAGGTGACGCCATCTGCGTCAGGACCAGGTGGAGGCTGAGCTCTTTACTCACATGTTAGCTGAGAGGTGCTGCTGGGAGCCGGGCAGACTGACGATGGCTGTGGACTGTCCTGGGGAGGTGGGTGTGGGGTGATACGCGCTGACCTACACAAACAGAAAAGACAGCCGAGCTGAACCAGTGAGCGCCACTAGGCAGGCCCCCGGCAGAGCCGCTGCAGAAAGGCCTGAAGCAGCTGGAAACCAAGAACCATGCGCGGCGCCACCCATCCTGTGTCACCCCCGTGGTTCGCCGCTGCGGGAGGCGCAGGGCAGGGACTGACCGGTTTGTGTCCTAGGGGTTCAGGGGTGGCATGCCGAGCCTGCGTTCCGGAAGGCTGCTCAGATAAGGCAGGGGATGAAGACTGTGGGATTTGCGGTCACCAGGGCACTGCCGGCCTCCTGGGTCCGTTCCCCCAGCCCCTCCCACCCATCGCCCAGTGCACTCACCTCCCTCTATGAAAACCTGCCCTCAGGAATGTGCTACATCAGCTAATACTGATTGAGAACTTGACACTTGCCAGGCAGTTTGAAGCGCTTTACAAGCAAATTTAATCTTATTAAAGGTACTCTTACCCTTATTTTGGGGTGAGGAGCTGAGAGAAAGAACAGTCACTCAACTAGTATGAACAAAAAAAGTAGACCCAGGTAGTGTGTGTCTCGACAGTCCCTGTCCTCTGCTCCTGGCTTATCCAGTGACTTATGGAAGGGGAATTTGAATCCTTTTCACTTTTCCTCGATGAAAGATGGAGCGACAATGCTGTGAGCCCCTAAAATCTGTCTCCCACCCTGAGACCTTGCCTGTTATCTAATCTACCACCTTGCTCATTTCCTTCTTGACATGTGTCACAGACCGTGATTGCTTCCTCATTTACTAACCATCCCCCACTAGACTCTAAGTTCCATGAGGGCAGGGACTACGTCTTGCTCATCACTGTATTTCTTATGTGCTTGATATATTGTTGTAGCTTGAAGTCCAAATGAATGAAAAATTTTCTTACCCAGCACACCGAGCTCTAATGAAACCTCAACCATCTTCATGCCACGCGGAGTAAATACATGCCATCTGCCTTCAGTTGCCCATCCATATGTAACAATGCATGCGTGCCTTTTTAGGACTGTTTCTGTGGGTACAGCTATTGTTGTGTATGAGTGGTGGGGTAAGTGCGAAAGCATTACTGAGTGCATGTGCTTCTGGTTCCCTGCCCAAGCGTGTATGTTTGTTTGGGACCCATGACAGCTGTATGAAGGTGTGTGATGGCATCTGCCTATTGGATGTCTGATTATGTTCATGCATGTGGGTCTATGAATCGATATGCTATGTGTAATTATATGTATGTATGTGTGATTGTGTATCTATGATTGTAAATGTCTATCTGGGACTTTGTGTGTATATATGTGAATTCCAGAGATGTGTGCGGGTATGTATATAGTTTTGTGTGTGTCTGGGTCGATGGTTGTGTAAATGTATGTGTGACATTGTGAGAATCCAGTTACAGGATCAAAAATTATTCCAGTCAGATAACAAGAGTTGGCAAGACTGTAGAGAAAATGAAATCCTTTTACAGTGCTGGTGAAATGTAAAATGATATAGCCTCTTTGAAAAATCTGTTCCTGAAATGACTAAGTATAGAACTACCATATTACCCAATATGACCGCTCCTGGTACATACCCAAGAGAAATGAAAACATAAGTCCACACAAAAATTTGTACAGAAATGTTACAGCAACGTTATTCATAATAGCCAAAAGGTGGCAATAACACAAATGTTCATTGATTGATGAATGGATACACAAAATATGGTATATCCATACAATGGAATATTATTCAGCCATAAAAAATGAAATATTGACACATGCTAGGACATGGATAAACCTTGAAAATGTTATGCCAAAAGAAGCCAGATACAAAAAGACAACATTACATGATTCCATTGATAAGAAATGTCTACAATAGGCAAATCTATAGAACTAGAAAATATACTAGAGGTTTGTAAGGGCTGGGGACATAGGTAGACATGGAGGTGATAGTTAAAGGGTGTAATAGTTACAGGACACAGGGTTTCTCTTTGCGGTGATGAAATGTAAAATTGTGGCAGTAATGGTTGTACATATCTGTGGATGTCTCAAAAACTATTGAATTGTATACCTTTAATGGGTGAATTGTATGGTATGTGAATTGTATCTCAATAAAGCTCTTTTAAAAAAGCACTCCACAGTCACACACCTGAGGCTCTCTAACACTGCATAAAGAGTTCTGAGCTTTGCAGTCAACCACTGTCCCACCAGTTCCCTCAGACAGAGATGAAAAGGAACTGGCTCTAGGCTAGGCAGCTCCTCTTCTCTGACTGCGCAAAGCAAACCCCTGCCGGGCCTAGGAGCTGTGCCAAGGGAGAGCCTTGTTACGTGAACAACTAATCTTATGTTTATAAAGCCTGTTGAACCATTGAGTAAGCAGCATGAACTTCACTTAACACCTACAACTTTCCAATGGTATGTTTCAGTGAAAAACGCTTCTATCCATAAACACTATTCATCTTTAGCGAGGAGGAAGATGCTAGAGCACAAAGCCACCCCTCCATTACACAGCGCTCTCTCCTTTTCCTTCTCTAGGCCTTCCTCTGGGGAGCGGTATTTCCCCTTACTTGGTATGTGGAACCAGGGCTGAAATTGGTGGGCTTGTGATGGACTCCTTTCTAATACAGAATGGGAAGGAAGGTCAGATTCTCAGGTTTTGAGGTGTCTGGGAGGGGAAGAGCGAACAGGATTGGAGGGGAGGCAAAGGAAGAGGAGGGAGGGGGCGAAATCATGGATGACACTGAGGGTCGGGGAGAGAGTCGGCAAGTGAGACAGAGGCACCATGGGAGGAAGAGGCAGATTCAGAGGGATCAAGGGAGGAAGGAAGAAGAGAGAGAGATTAAAAAAAAAGACTGGAAAAACTCTTACAACCCATTCAGAAGTAGACAAACAACCTAATAAGAAATGGGCCAAAACAAGATATATTGAGTGGCCAATGCATAAAAAGATTCTCAACATCAACAGTTATAAAAAATGCAGGTTAAAACTACCATGAGATACTACTATAAACCTAAAAGAATAGCTGAAGTCATAAAGACTGACTATACCAAGTGCTGGTGAGAATGCGGAGCAACTAGAACTCACATACTGCTGGCGGGAACATTAAGTGGTTCCACTACATTAGAAAACAAGTTGGCTGTTTAAAAAAAAAAAATAAAGGTAAATATACATTTACTATGCTACTCACCAATCCTACTCACAGTATTTATCTACGAGAAATGAAAACACGTGTCCATACAAGAACTTGTACATGAACGTTCATAGCAGCCCTGTTCATTTTAGCCAAATGGTAACAACCCAAATGCCAATCAACTGGTGAACGAATAAACAAACTATAGTATAACGACAGTGGCATATGCCTCAGCAATACATGCAATGACATACATGAATCTTAACAACATCCTAAGTAAAAGAAGCAGGACACACAAGACTCAGTTCTATGGCGCCATTTATATGACATTCCTAAAAAAAGCTGAAACTATAGTGACAGAAAACATCTGAAGGATTGCCAAGAGCCAGAGTGGGGAAAAAAGATTGCAAAGGGGTACAAGAAAACTTTTCGGGCTGGTGAAAATGTTCTATATCTTGATTTTGGTAGTCATTCCACACCTTTGTGCATTTGCCAAAAGTCATTGAACTGTACACTTAAAATGGTTGAACTTTATTGTATGTAACTATATAGATCACTAAAGCTATTTAAATATGAATATATTATCTAGTTCATAGGAAGCATCCAAGTGGCCTTGACGTGGCCCAACCCAAGCTCTGGAATGGTCAGCAGAGTATAGGGAGGGCTCAGTTTAAGAGTGGGCAGCTGGCAAGTGACTCCCAGGTCAGGGGGCCACCTGAATGGGAGGAAACCTATGGATCAGAGAGAGGCTCAGTGAGGCAAAACCGAAACTGAATAAATGAACGAATGGGTGAATGCATGACTGCAGTGACAGGAAAAGAGAGGAAGACAAAGGCAGAGAAGAAACTGGTAGGGAAGAAGGAAGACAGAGCAAGACAGCAGTGCAGGCCCTGTTTGGTAAATGAAGACACCAGGTAGACAACTCCAGCATCTGAGGAGGCAAGTCTGTTCCTGTCACTAGGCTCAAAGCCAGAGGCCCAGCCCCCTGGAGTGAAAGAACCTAACGAGTGGTTCCCGGGGTCAACTGTGACCTCAGGTCTCCACCTGGAGGCAGGACGTGAGGTCCTCTGGCCACGGGTACTTCCTGGCACAGGGTTTGCCAACCTGAGCAGGATGAGAGAATGGGTGTGTATTTGAGGGTGGGTACTTCTGTTATAATCTAAAAACATTTTTCTTCCTTTTGAAGGAAATGACTCATTTCAAGTAAGTCTTTATCAGAATCAGAAGAATCCACAGCTGCGTGGCCTCTGGGCGTTTTCAGGTCTTGAGGTGTTACAGGAGGGAGGAAGGTGGCCTGGAGCCTGGTGCACATTGCTAGCACATTCCGCGGGCCCCTGCGCCTTCCCCAGCAGCCTCCCGGGCGCAGATATCACGGCTCCCTCTCACGATTTGGAGAGGAGATCTAGCTTCATGCGCAGGCATGTGGCCCAGGCGTTTACCAGGACGTGTGATCTTGGGCAAGGGATGGAACTCTGGGATCCTCCATTTCCTCACAGGTACAATGGGGCAAGAATGGTGTCTCTCTTCATAGCGTTGTTGTCAGGATGAAATAACACAACCCATGTCAATTGTTTAGCACATTTAAGTGCGCAATAAATATTACTCATTCAGATCTGCAAAGAGGTTAGCTCTACACGGGGTGGGGATGGCGTGCACGGAGCACCTCCTTTCATGTGACAGCCCCGTAAGGTCTTGGACTGAGAGCAGGACCCAAGAGCGTGGTGGGGGATGGGAACAAGCAACCCTACATCCCTATTCTGGAGGAAAACATCCCCAGCTTTTCAAAATGTGAGTTTGTGGTCCCCCTCCCGGCCCTTGCTGTGGCACACAGCTACTTCCTCCAGGGCTCATGCCTTGGTGGGCGTGGGGTGACTGCCTTCCTCAGCAGAGTGATCCACTC